CGGTATACACCAGCGGGGTACCAGTGAAGAATGATAGGTGAGGATGAAGCAGGTCAGTTAGCCCATCGTGATGAATTCAACAAGAATTGTTCACGATGGTTTCCAGGGGGAACCACGTGGAGGTCGACCTAATAAGGCATATTGCTTGCAATGGGGCTGTCAAACTCAATTTCTAACAATCCCTTTCCCCCCAATCTGTGTACTAGGTTGTATAAAGGCGAACTATATATAATATAGCAACACTGTTGTCTACGAATACAATATATATATTTTTGATGTCCAGTGTATTAAAAATATCTCGTTGTCATTATACAATATATACGAATAGATAAAAGAGGTCATTTTTTAGAAGTTTCTTTACATACATATTACTGAATTTGCTTTATTCATAAAAACCTATTTATTGTTTCATAAATGCTTATATACGACGAGCACAACGCGTTGATGTCTTATGTAGGTACCATTCACATCTCGTTTCGTTGCACACTTATATCAGACGTTTTCAAGTGTTTTACATAAAGTCAAATGAAGTTTGGGACTTGTATTATAAATTTTCTTAAATTTATAACAAATAGACTAGACATAGATAAGGATTTAAAGATCTAGATCACATTTGCTTATTTTTTGCAATCTGCAAAGGAATGTCGATATGATTTCTTGACGTTCTGTCTATACATATGTATATACACATATTATGTTTCTTTATCAGTAATATATAGAATATATTTTATGTATGTTTGCTTTACTAGTTCTTTATTTTTGAATATTATATTTTACATAAGACCGTTTTAAAAATTTTGGTCTCAATTTTTTATTAATTTTCAAATGTTCTTGTTTTACTGATTTTTTGGTTATTTGTGTAATTAATTTGACAGGAAAACTTTTAAAAAAATAATAATATAATAGCTCTTTTTAATACTTCAAATATGTTGAAAATAACGGTATAAGCAGCTTTATTACTACTAATAATTTACTTACTTCAAACTTATAGAAAATTAAATTATTGGGTGAACTAGGTAAAATTTTCTATAATTGGCCCTTAGATAATTTTGGTCTCCGATTTGCAACATTTGTTTCAATTATAGATGTGAAATGGACTAAATTTGTGTTAAGACCTACCAAACAAAATAATGATATCATAAACGCCCCTTTACGATGTTATTAAAGAGTGTTCAGTATGTAAACACTTAGATTTATTACCTACCTAATTTTTGTATTAGTAATAATTAATGACATAACAAAAAACTCTTAAGTGCGGAAATGAAGAACAGTAAGACTTATGAAACCCAATAACCGCATTTATGCTATAGCACTCCGAGATAAGAAGGCAGTATAGAGAAATTTCTCTCATCAAAAGGAAGTCTCCCCTTCACATGTTTTAAATTTATTTCAAGTTATAGATTTATTAACCATTTCGCTTAATAAATAAAATCTCTCTGAAATGTATACTTCCTAAATATTAAGATAAATATTCAAGATTATTGCCAAAAATGTTGTCAGTTACCTCAGATGCACTCGAGTGCAATGTTTCGCATTAAACACAACATTCACATAATGGTATTGTAGCCACATAATTAAGCTACTAACTCTTACGACAAAGTATTTTGACACTATATTGCAATAATCAAAGCTGAATAACATTATACATATATGTAACATTAATGTTCTTAAGAGCGCAATTGCTGAATTATTTACTCATTATATATGCAAAAATGCATAATGCTACTACGTAATGAAGTGGCTGTAAGTATAAACAGTTGGTAAATGCTACTAATATTATGTAGGTACTTAAAATTTATTATATTTATTTTGATTTAGCTAGATTTAGCGTATCGTATAAATGCAGCAACTTATATTGAAACATAATTGATTTACACAAATGCTACAGGTGATATTTCTTAACGCTATATATCACCTAATGTTTTCGACTCAACTTGCCATGTTCGTTTTTGTTTGAACACAGAGCATATGTAGCGTTGCATGTAGCCTATAATGATGAAATTTGCTAAGTACCTACGAATTTTCCAAACGATTGTAAATAAAGGAGATCTGAAAGAGATTGCTTTAGCGATAAGACCGCCTTTTGTACTTCATAGCAACATTCATAAATATTTAAATATTTATATTATTCTTTAAGAGGTACAATAAAGAGTAAATAAATAAATAAATAAATATTTCTGTGTTGGTCTCATATTAATTTGTTGACCGTTAAATCGATCTTTTTTTGCGGAACAAAAAAATTTCATATCGTAAAGCAAAATATACCTGTACATACGAATATACGATTACATATTCTACATATTACATATATCTATATAGTTCTAAATACCTCATGTGTAAATTTAAGTTGTTTGTGTTGTTTTTTCGGTCGTCTAGTTGAAGTAGTAGTAGTTAGTAGTAAGAAGTAGTAGTTGTTATATATATATATATATATATATATATACATACATATATATATATATATATATATATATGTATGTATAATAGACAAGCCTTTTTGAATATTTGTTTTGGACACCTAGCAAAGAAAATAAACATATTTAATCAATTATGTGCTCTGCCTCAAATTTCATATTGATAACATTAGTAATTGTTGAGATATAGCGTGGTAACATGAAAAGACGGGCGGACAAAATAGCACCATAAGGGTATTTTTGTACCATTTTAGTACGGAACCCTAAAAATATATACCTTGATACATACATAATACCTATATGCATAAATTTAGTAACATGGTATTGTAGTCTTTTCCTCTATTTTACCTGAAACCCCAATGTTTTCTATGCCTAAATGTAATAATAACAATACTGTATTGTAAAGTAAAATTCTCATGCCCTCACAGTAATTCTCAACTCAGTCGCATATTATTATTAGGTATAATCGTTAAAATGATCTGTTGATGATTAAAATACCAAATTGTGTGCATGTTATTAATTCTATACAGTGATTATATAGCCATTTCAAGCTATTTCCCAACTGATACTTAACAGTTTTAGCTAAGTACTTCATTTAACTGACTATAGGATAAATAACTGAGCAGTAATGTAACAGATACTCGAATAGGTTGGTATAGGTAAATCAATTCTTATGTCAAGTAATCTTACTTTTTATTAAATAAAATATGAGGTGTTCTCGAATCTATTTTTATATTACATATAAATTATATTTGTAAACTAGTGATACGGCCCGGTTTCACGCGGGTATATGGAATTTTAGAAAATAATAATAGTCTATGTTACTTGTTTATAATGAAATTACTACTTATTTGAAAGATAGATTTCAGTATCTCAAAGACTCCCATACCCTTAATCTTCGGTCATCTCATAATCTCCTCCTCATCACCCCGTCACATCATTCCGGATTTATGTCCAATTCTTTTACTGTTTTAATTATCAGCCTTTGGAATAAAATCCCTGTAGATCTACGCAGAGCATCAAGTAAAGATATTTTTAAAAGAAGACTTTTTAATTATTTGTTGAGTCAACAAAACCAGCGCTAGTTACAGGTCACTCAATAGTTATTATATCTCTATATATATATATATATATATATATATATATATATATATATATATATATATATATATATATATATATATATATATATATATATATATATGTATATATTTCATATGTATTAGTTTATCCATATATATTAAAAGTAATGTTTATGTATTATATGTGCATTTCTTATGTGTGTATTATATTTATATTGTGTATTGCCTTAATGTGTTACTATAATTGTCACATATTTTTCACCACATCTGCCCTTCATACGCTTTCTGTTTTTACCTAATGGTTAGCTGGTAGAGAATGCCATATGGCATTAAGCTCGCCACTTGTACAAAATTTTATTGTGCAATAAAGAATAAATAAATAAATAAATAATAAACATTTTATAGATGAAAGTATTTGTAAAATCGAGCTTTCAAGTTTATCCATTACAAATAAACATTGTTCTGATCTTTCCTCTTTATAGTATTAATAATATTATAGGAATTTTGAGTATTTAGGAACGATTAACTGAGTTGATATTAAAATATAGGAGACTAGATATAAGAAAATAATTAAGAAACTCATCCCCTATGTTGGTAAAATAAGAATTAAAAGTTTATACTCGTGTGACAGTCCGTCGAGTAAAAAAATAATTACATGTAAAAATTGGTATTCTCACTGCTGATATAAAAAAAAAATCCTTATATTTGTAAAGTCAGTCCCTGTGACTGACTAATATTGGGCGTCAAAGATTATATTGATGGTTTACTTTATTTTAGATACTGCTGCGATAAATATATTTTAAAACATGTTTGGAGGAATTTAGCAATTTTTCAACCGATTTTTAAAAGAAGGAGGTTCTAAATATAATTGTATTTTCTGTTTGTTACCTCATAAGTCCATCAGTTCTAAACCGATTTGGATTTTTTTTGGATTTCTTTTTTTACCTTAAAGAATATACTTACAGATTGATCCCACAGAAATTTTATCAAAATCAGCTCAGTAGTTTAGTGTTTAGGTCAAAATTACTGGTTTTGACACAATTGAAGTTTTTTGTGGGACACAATCTTTATATACTTAGGTTAAAAGCTCAAATATATTGTAGGTATTTAGCTTTTTGTAGAATCTATAGGTACCTATTACAATAAAATTATAAGGGTGAAAAGTCTTCGACTTCCTATCGACGCTGGAGACTGTTAGCATTTAGGATTAGTTTTTATTTAGACTAATAAGCTAATTTCATAAAAAAAAAATCAAATATGAATAAGCAGCTATGATAGGGTAGTCTCTCATATTTTCCTATGACTTTTTTAATGGAAACAGGAGAAGGTGTTCACTAGAATATTTTCACTAACAGTTACATCTTACGTTACACATATTCTTTACGTTTTTTGTTAGACAAAATATAACCAGAAAAACACCCACATCTATTACACCCGTCACGTAATAGAGTGATAGGATTAGTTTAAACAACGCTAAGCAGTCACAGGGACAATAAGTTGCAACACTGTCGGAACAGCTTCCGCTCGACTCTTCACGGTCCTCTCGGGCCGCCGCAGTCCCAACTGCTTCATGCGGCGCACCAGAGGTGGGAGGTGAGATCTCACGCCATATATATAGCGCGAGACATCCTAACATCAGCAAGCAGTTACCGTACAGCTTCAGAATGAAGGTAACACACTTATTACCTAACGTCTATTAGCATACGTAACGCATATCCAAAAATCTCAATCCAAATATTATTAAAGTCACGATAAGTCATCCTATATTAAATTTTGTGATTATATTTATTTATAAAATATATTAATAATTAAAATATTTTAAATAATATTGTTAACATATTTATAAATATTGTGACCAAGGGTGGACCGCAAAGGTCATGAGTTCGAATCGGCGATATCAAAAACTTTGTCAATTTAAATTTCCAATTAACTCTCCAGTAATGAGAAACGACGATAACAGACTTAATGAAACCGAGTGATGGCGATAGTCGCTGTGTATACGCTGTCATATTACGACACGATAGATATCAGTTGCTTACACTTACGATGGGCAAAATAGAAGGTAAGAGCCGCATCGGAGGAGAGGAAAAATCATGCCTGAGAAGATAAGGTCGTGAACCGACGTTGTCAGTGTCGTGTAACTATACCGAATGACTATATCAAAAAGACAAATTCGTGAACCAACCACCACTAATGGAGAACTACCTGACGAAGAAGAGAAGAAGAGTTCGGCTCTCCTCATGTCACGTTAGATGCTCAGCGAAATGTGGGCATATCAAGTACATATAACGTTTTTGGCAATGGTATTACTGATGTAGACCAATATCTCTAACTACCCTAACTACATTAAGGATTGTAATCGTAGTATATTTTTTTTAATATATTTCATCATAAATGTATTTCCAGGTCTTCGTTTGTATATTGGCGCTAGCCGTCGCAGCTCATGCTGGATACATCGGTGGTGGCGGTGGCGGCTGGTCAAGTGGCGGGGGCGGCGGCTGGTCGAGCGGCGGAGGCGGCGGTGGCTGGAAGTTGGGAGGTGGTGGCGGCGGCTGGTCCAGTGGCGGCGGTGGTTACGGTGGCGGCGGCGGCTACGGGGGCGGCAGCGGCGGACGTACGTATTCAACAATTTGACTAGCTTAATCGATCAATATTTTATTGCAGCATCATACAATACAATGCACATACATAAAAAGTGTACAAGATCTTACAGTTATTTTGTGACGCCCCGTAAGAACATGGCAGTGCAGGTAGAGAGCTTTACAATTTATATTTAATTAATACAACATACATATAATTAATAACACTATATATATTAAATTCTATCTTTTTAAATTCGTCATCATTATATATACAGTTGTCACACAGTATGTTGGTTAACGTCTTTTTAAACATTATTACTGGCAAGTTTTTAATAGAGTCAGGCAACAAATTGCACAATTTTAGAGGCAGAATTATTTTTAGCAAAGTAGGTGGTACTATGAGGGAGTCAGGCTAGATGGAAACCAAGTAGAGAAAGCCACTAAATTCTGCTTTCCTTTATATAAATTTAGATTTTTTTCGAGCATGCACATTTCCAAAATGTATATAGCAGATAGAGTTAATAAATTAAGTTTTTTAAAAAGAGACCTGCATGTAAAGACTTAAAGGTCTAAAAGACCCGCACTACACATCGCTCTTATACATTTTTTAAAGCGGAAACATATTTATAAATTTTTTGCATATTATAGAGGTATCTATTATATATGTTAGCAAACATATTCTGGGAATAGATGTCCAAACTACTTACTTTGTTGCTTGCTACAATTTTTTTATGTAACAAAATTAACAATGTTATAAATATAGTTTCAAATTTTCTTTACCTACACACTAAACAAACAATTATATTGAAAACAATATTTATAATAATGTACCCATCTTTTTCCAACTTACATCACAATATAATTTAATTAATAGGACTAAAATAGGACTTTCCACTGTGCCTAACAATATAGATAAATATAAAAGAGAATCAGATTAAAGTCATTATTACTTGTAGGATAGAACTTGACTTTTATTTTGTTACACAGAAGTGAAAATTATCAAAATCATCACTACTGGCGGCGGCGGCGGCGGCGGCGGTTTTGGTAAGTTTATAAAATATAAGTGATTTGTTTAAAACTTTTATTCTGAATTAAAATTGCCTACATTAGTATTATTTTATATATGATTAATTCATTACATATCTCTATAGGTACCTAGTTAAAAGTTCATTTATTAAATAGTTGATAGGTACAAGAGCCAAGTACCCTTTTACCTTGTAAGTGTATAGGCTTAAATATACCTAAATGTAATACAGATACTGCTTATTTGTTAACATCATATTAAAATTTACATTACAAACAAAAGCATTGAATTAACTTATCAAATTCCACTCAAGTGCCAACAATCTCCAACATCAACAAAATAATTTAACGAAGGTTTCAATAAAATTTTAATAGAGGGTACTTAAGTACCTTAATTGAAGGGAATAGGTTAAATGACCTTAACCTTTCATGTCATGGATTATATGTTAAGTCTTTGATATTGAATTTTATCAATTATCCTAATAACATTGCCTACCTACTTTAAAGGTCATTAAATCATTCACATGGGGTCATCCATTCCCTCGGCCGTACGTAATTACCTATAACGCAATATCTTGTGACATAGGTATTCAGCTAAACTTCGTGTCTTATATTACTAGGTAATTAGGTATTTCTAACAATAGACTGTGTTTACTTATTATTATTATTACAATTATTTATGTAAATTATGGCTAATTTCTAAAGTCAACCCATATGTGTTATTGTTTTTTTTTTATGTGTACCTATGTACCTTTTGTGTGGGTTAGACAATTTTTAGTTCAACGGACTTAAAAAAGAAGAATTTCACATTTTGACTGCATTTGTTATAAATTGGACCTACGCAATATTTTCGTAATTTCAGAATCCATTCTAATGATTCTTTTGCAACTCTTTTCCCCTTTTCATAGGATATTGGTTTTACATACACTTAATAATACCCCTTATACATATTTCAAATTAAATTATTACATCGCTTCTTGTTACAAACCTTATCCATCACCCACATTTACTCGATTTTATAATAAACACTGGTAATTTATTTATAAATTATGTAGTATAAGTTTATCGGAAGCTTAGATTTTTCAAATATTAGATATCGCTGTTGTACCTGAAGGTTATTGATTATTTATACCGAGTATATATATTTTTATTTTAATACCTAAGTGTACCTATAACTACTGTATATAGTTTATTCATCGTATCACTCAGTATTTTATATATTCGGAAACAAGCTATACCTACCAAGATTATTATTAAATATATTAAGAATGCGCTCATTTGAAGAGTTTATCTGGTGCCCACTCCATGATCAGTAGCGGAGCTTTTAGCTATAGTAAAAACATATATAAGAGTGCATATAGGCCTCATTTATGAGACCAGACCCTCATAAATAATTCTACATACGCTAATGATACCAAGTATATAAAAATATACCTAACAACCTAATTTCAAATAAAAAAATTGTAAACTATTTAAAAACATAGTTTTGAAGTTATAATACAAGAAAAATAAGTTTATGTAAAACATTTAAATAGGTACCTATTTTCAATCGACTTCAAAAAGACAGAGATTATTAATTCGGTTCTATTTTTTTTTGTTACCTCATTGTAAACCGATTAAAAAAAATTTCTTTTTATCTGAAAGGACATTTTTACAGATTGGTCCGATAGAATTTTTGTCAATCGATTCAATAATTTAGTTTTAAAATCAAAATAACTGGTTTTGCTACAATTGAAATCGTTTATTTTTTTCATGGAACACAATTTAATTATTTTTGATACCCTAAAAGAGTTAATGACCACTGGAGTTAATTGACTATTGTTTAATACTATTATTACAGGCGGTGGTCATGGTGGATGGTCCGGCGGCGGCAGCAGCGGCGGCGGTGGCTGGAAACTGGGCGGAGGCAGCAGCGGTTGGTCTAGCGGCGGCGGTGGAGGCGGCTACGGCGGCGGCTGGAAGTTGAGCAGCGGCGGTGGTGGCTGGTCTAGCGGCGGCGGCGGCAGCGGCTGGAAACTCGGTGGCGGCGGCGGCGGCTGGTCCAGCGGCGGCTCCTCCGGTTGGTGGTGATCTCGACACATGTGATGTTAGTTTAATTTGAAAAAATAAAATCGTACCTCTTACTTAATTTGTTGTTTTTATAATGCCTAATAAATTTATTTTATATATTATTGAGGTCTATAAATGAGGATGCACTACTAGACCATGACGCTCTCTGTTTTATTACTGGTCGTGATGGTTTTTATATTTTACTACTGAATATTATAAATGTGAAAGCCAATTAGCTACCTATTGACTTCGTCATATTCGTACATTTTAACACATACGTAGTATTTGGGATGAAGAAAGCCATACAATACTATAATCATTATGTACCTATAACCCAGTCACGCAGACAAAGTTATGAGTAAATACTACTAATGTCAGATAGGATATCAAGATAAAACAAAACATATCATATTGAAGAATATAATTGTGAAAACCGCAACCAGTTTGGCAGTTATTTTGTATAATACCACAACAACAGACATACAGATAAAATTTCTAAAAATTATTGTTGTGGCATCTATTGGTCTTATTAAGACCCCTCACATATTTTTTTAAATATCACCCATGTACTGACGTCGTCTAGTTATTATTTTAATATATTAATAAGATTACTTTCAAACGCATAGGTAGGTTTCTGTAGGTTTTTAGCCCAGGAAGCTTTAATTTTTTTTATACTATCTATATCTTTTACATGTATAAATATTGAACACATTCAATTTAGATCTTGCCCTGCAACTGCTCAAATGAATTATGCAATAACTGAATAAGAGATAAATAATCAGCCTCTGGATTAAACTACTTTTACATAATTAGAGTTCATCATCATCATATCAGCCGTTAATAGTCCACTGCTGAACATAGGACTCCCTAATAAGCGAGAGTTTTGCCGGTGGTTGCCGCGCTTGACAGGCGGGTTGGCAATCGCAGTTAATGTTTTAATGTTTGGCTTTGGTTTTAAGAGGGACGCTACTGCCTATCGCACGACCGTTAAGTTCCCTTAATCGCTTACAACACCTACTGGAAAGGAAGGTGGGCGGGGGGGTTCATTCTAATCTGAGACCACACAGCAGAGTAACAGGTATTCGAGGTACATTAATTAAATTAAAAAAATCGTTAAAACTTTCAAAATGATATAATTCTGATTAAAATTAGAAAAACATAAATCTGTAAATAGAAAAGACGATCCTGAGGTAGATTAGCCTCGTATATAATTCTAACGCGTAAGTATTGTTAAACTTATAACAGTGCACCAGTTGGTTTTTTCTTTAAAAATTTTTTTCCATAATATTTACGTCTTTTACTTCTATTAGGATCAAAATTTTCTTTGTCAGATGAATCCGTACTCGCCGGTGTAGGTCTGCGCTCCACACGTCTTTTTCTTGTGCTAGATTCACTTGGAGGTATTTCAGTTAAAATTCCATAGTCCCTAAAAAAAGAATACTCATATAAAATTATATAACAATATTAATAACAAAACAAACAAAAATATAAATATTTAACAGAGCAACAATTTCGATAATTTTTGAGTCATTAATATTTAGAATATTTTTAGTTGATATTTCATGATCCCATACAGATGTCTAATGGTTACCATAGACACCTGTATGGGCACACCACATACATCCACAATATTTTTTTTATACAATATACAGAATTTATTTGCAAAATAGCAAAAATTAATTAACAAATACCAACAGTATTCCAGACAAGAGCTGTTCTAATAAAGTTATTATAAATATTTAATATAAGTTATTTGGAGTATAATTTCTGTTTATTACACAACTTGTAGTGGAAAAATAAGGTTACAACTCATCTAATGGATTTTAGTAACTGTCACCTATATATTTTATGGACATTGCAAAATACACTAAAACACCTGCTATTACTAATTATGATTGTGTACATATTTATAATTTTTTTTTATACAACTTAGAATGGCAAACAAGCTGACGGCCCACCTGATGGAATGTGGTAACCGTCGCCTATAGACATGATCAGTACCATAGACAACAGAGTATACTGTTTCGCCCATGATACTCCTCATGCGTTGCCATTCCTGAGGACTCAGGTGTTATTCCTCCGTACCTAGTAAATTCATGTCATATCCCACCCTTCAAACTTTACAGATGTTACTAAAGTATGCAATATATACCTTTATATCAAAATAGATTAATTCAAATTTTTTAATTAATTCAGAAAATATTGACCATTATTAGTTACCATTGATGTCCAGAGTATATCCAGTATATAAACCTATCTAAATATACTACATACAACATATTTATTTAAATTGTTAACTTATCCAATAAATTAAGAATAACTTACTTTGGTTCACAAGATCTATGAACTTCAGCAGTAACATCTATACTAATTTGTCCTGCATCCATATCTAAATCACTGTCAGATTCTTCTATAATTATGTTTTTTTTATCATTATATATTGATTTAGTGTTATTTGAATTATTTGTCTTTTCTTCTTCTGAAGTAAAACCATATTTATGCAATGTTTCACTAAAATGTTTATTTGGTTCATCTACAAATATGTCCTGGCTCTCCATAGAGAAATATTTGTCTTTAGCACCAGCGATTACCAAATCATTCTTAATTTGGATTATTTCATTAATGTCAGTTTGCACTGCAACAGAACTCTTAATACTTCTTTTGTGTTCTATTTTAGAAATTTTAACATCAGTTACAAAATTAACATTATCAATACTGAATGAAACATTGTTTAATGTACTTTTATTTGTTTTATACAAATCATATCTACAGGCCATGCAAGGTTCGACAAATAATCCTTTCTTAATAAATGGCACAATACTTTTATTGTCTTTTTGATATGAAGTTTCAGTATAATTGGAAAGTTGTTCATTAATTTTATTACTCCTTACATTTTTATTGCCTAATGAATTTTGCATCAAATTGGAGTCAGATTGTTTCTGTTTTTCAGTTTCTTCAGCAGCTTCAATAGCCAGCAATGCAAGTTTATCTTTATCAACAATTTCAGTTGGTGTATCATCTATAATTATATAATCATCATCCATAACAATACCACTTTCATCATTTTCATTTTTCTTTTTATAATCAGATATTAAATTATTACTTTCTGTTATTGTTATTTTACCAACTAAATCATTCTTTTGTTTCGTTTTGTGTTTATCAATTATATTAGTAGACTGATTTTTATTTTGTGTAAGTGTGTATTTTTTCTTGCGACTGGTGATGTTTAATATTTTTCTCCTATTACTACTTTGAAACTTATCTTTCCTTATTGTTATAATAGGATTATTATTTTTCATTACATTTTGTTCATTTGTTTGTGAAGTATTTTGATTGTTGATATTTAAATCTGCAAGTGGGATTCTTGGAGAGTTTGTCTTATTATCTTGAATCCATTTTTCTATGTATTGAATTTTATCCATATTCAATTTCCTCTTATGTGATGTGTTTTCACCATGGTACACAGACTTTCTCTTATTTTCCTTGTTGTTATATTGAATGTTAAGACTTTTTCGTTTGTTACAATATTTTATAGGGGCTTGAATGCATTCAGGAAATACTTCTTTTTCAACTTTCAGTTGGTCAGAAATTCTTTGCCTTCTATACACTACAAAAAATATATAATTAGTATTGAAATTTAAGTATATTATATAAAATTATTAAAGTTATTAAATTTTAACCATCTATGTTGAAGACTTCTTGAAACACATTCAGAAGATGTGATACATGGCCTACTTTTTGTGAAAGTTGCTCGTCTATCACTGATTTGTTACAAGGAGAAGAATTTAAAGTTGTTAAGCACTGTATGCACTCCTGAGCTTCAGTTGCACAGTCTTCGCAAACAGAAAACCCACAAGGATACCTTTGACGAAGTCCATCTGACCTGTCACTGTTTAAAAAAAATAAATCGTTAATATTTATGATTCTTAAAATGTCATATTAAAATATCTGTTTATTATTCTATACATTTGAAATTTAGGTATATATATTCCAATTATTATTTGCTTTTTTTTATTTTGCAAATTATCCTACCTTTACAGTATTATGATGTTTATAATAATTAATAAATGGGATTAGAACAGTTAATATAGTTATTTGTTTTACTACGCACTTTAAAGTTTAATTTCGTGAAATTTACAACATACATTTCTATATTTAAGAAAAACTTAGCTATCAAAAAAGCAACAGAATCTGTAATCAGTTGTAAGGTTTTATATTATAAAAGTTTTTTACCAAACGCCACATCGATGAATGTCAACAATTTTTCGAACACATTCAACTGCTTGATCCATAAAATTAGACATGACAATAGTAAATAAGTTTATATATCTTACACTACATTCTTGGTAGATGCCATAAATTGAAATATTAATTGCATTCAAATCAGATATGATGTTATCTAATAAGTATAGAAAACAAATAATAAAAAAAATTCAACATCAAATATGAGACAGACAGTATAAAAACAATAGTAAAAAAAAATGTGTTCAGTGTTGCCAATATCTGATAGTCAAAAGTTACACAAGGAATACAATTAAAAAAGAAATATTTTAATCGCAAAAGTGACACATTCACATTAATCAATACAAATTATTAATTTGAAGAATTTAAATTTTATCAATTGTTATAAATAATAGTTTATCACATTTTTTTATATTAAAAAAAAAAGGTGAGTAATACTGAAAAAGTGAAATTTCTTTCTTAGTAGTTTCTAATTTCTTAGTTGGATGCTCCAAGTATGTTATATACTTACTTATAGTTGGTATATGAATGTGATATCTCGGATAAATAAAAAAACCTGAAATTAATTTGTACAGCTTATGTCAATCCTGTGTCGAACTTATACTTTGGGTCTTTGTACTAGCAAAAAGCATCATCATTATTATCATCATCATCACTATCACTATATAGTATAAAACAAAGTCATTGTCGCTGTCTATCCGTCCCTATGTCTACTTAAATGTTTAAAACTACGCAACAATTTTGAAGCGGTTTTTTTAATACATAGAGTGATTCAAGAGTAAGGTATATGTATAATACATGAATAATATTGTAAGGAAACACTAATAAATTTAGAAGTTTCTGTGATGTAAATGAACACATTTTTCGCGCTTATATTGCAAACGCTGACTGAATCCCACGAGATAAATCAAAATAATGTACTTTGATTTATGTCGAGGATACTAGGATTTTTCTAGGGTTCCGTACCATCAAAGGGAAAAAGGATCCTTATGGAATTACTTCGTTGTCTGTCCATCTGTCAGTTCGTCTTTCAAGACCCTTTTTCTTAGGAACACGTAGAGGTATCAAGTTGAAATTAATATCATATACTCAGGTCTTTCTATAGGGTACTTCCCATTGACCTAGAATCATGAAAATTGGCAAGAAATAATGTCATGTAGTCGTTTAAATCCTTATCCAAATAAGTCGTAGATTGTAACCGATTAAAGCCGGCAGCACACCTGCAATGCCGTTAGTTAATGTCATGGGCGGCGGTACTCACTTACCTCCAGGTGAGCCGCATGCTCGTTTGCCCCGTGTTGTAAAAAAAATCGGTATAGTAGTTTATAGTTCAAAATAACTTGTTTTCTCATAATTTAAATCGGATTTCTTTTTTTGGAAGGCACAATATTTAATTATAAAATGTCAAATCACTAACAGTGTTATATAACAGTTTCTTATCTGTATTTCCTACTGTAGTGTGCAAAAATAATACTAAAAAAATATTTTTTTTATTTATCCTAAAATCCGCACTGGGCAATTATATAATATTACAATATATTTATTACAAATTGGTACTGAAATATATTTAGATCGCGTAAAACAAATGATAAATACGTAGCTGTGCCTATGTACCTACGTTTACGTGTATGATAGTCAGTTGATATCTAGTTTTTCTACTAAAGTATCTTTCATTATTTTAATTGCGTTATATAGACATAGTTTTTGTTGAATTTGTCACAATGGGACAACTGACCTGCTTTCATCATCATCGTCTTTCAATCGTATCTCGCGGCAGTGTACCTATAATACAGGCGGTGCTACCTGCTATTATAACCCCATTAAAAAAACGATATAGTCTAACCAAATTGACCAAATTTGATTACACTTCATTAATTTGATTTAGTTTGACTAAGTTTGGCCCAATTTGGCTAAAATAAATCTAACTTAGTCAAACTTATTTTTTTACAAATATCCATAGGAAATATCCAGACTGATAGTAAATAATAGTAAATACAAATAGACTCGTAAATACAAATATTTTTATTATGCGGTAATTGAATGGTCGATCGTCGGGAGATAAGGCAATGCGAAAACCGCTACACCATCAGTTTTCTACTGCTAGATCATCACTCATTTAATCTTTAAAAAAAAATATTCTTATAAGAAACTAGTTATCTTCCGCAGCTTTGAATCTTATGTATTAAGTAAGGATATCACCAATTTCATTCAAATCTGTTCAACTATATAAGCGTGAATAAGAAACACTGCTATGAATACTACGTGATTAAATATAAACATAGGTATGTTATAGTAGGTATGTGATCAAGTTGTATTAGTGGATGAAATAAAAAAGTTATTAAAATTGTCGGTTTTTCGATATGAGTATCGTTTTTGACTGACTTTATGATTAAACAAATAAGCTATAATTAGGTTCTGATAAAAAGATATATAGTTTCTTTTTTAATTTATTTAACACTTGTGGTAACCCTTACACATATTTTCTGTGTATATCCATTCTCTATTCCATCCATTTAAGCCTAGATGCTTGTGCAGTTATAAAAAATTAGTTCTGACGTACCTAAAAAGACAAGTTTCTAAATAAATAAGATAGAAAAAATTGTTGATGATACAAATAAATAAAAAGAATCATTTAATCAATTCTAATATAATAATTATCTTTCGGATTAACAATTTGTGACGAATTTATTAAGTATAATAGATTGTTTATAGTATAATTTAAAAATACAAACCCAGTCTTTCATCAAGTTTAACATTTACTACTAATCAAATGTAGGTATTATAATATTAAAGTTTACAGTAATTAATTTTACCTAAACTCCTATGGAATGTAAAATTTACATACAAGAGAAATACAAGGTAAAAATAATAATTATATGTACCTAATAAGTACTTAAAAAAATAGTATGATTTATGAAAATATATTTTTTTAAATAAAATAGAATAGTATTCTTAAAACAAAAATACTTCGTGCATGATGTTAAGATAAGTTGAATAGTATCAATGTAGCTAACATTGATGTAAACCTATGTGGTGTCCGAATGTTAATACAACATGTTTTCTGTAATTCTGAATTTTTATAATAAGAAATAAAAAAATGTTATAAATGCAATTACAATTACTTACGTTAAAAGAAAGTTTTAAGTCTTAACTGATTTAGAATTTACAAGTCATAATTATTATAGGTAAAAGCATTTATAATAATTAATAATACATATTTTAGCGTGTATTATTAATATAAAATTATGCCCTTCCTACGGGCACATTACTGATACAACAATCACAATCACATTACACATAATAATATTAGGTATATATTTGAATGCAATAATAAAATAATAACTTATTGCTAATAAATTATTAATAAAAGAACATAAGTACTTAACTAATTGTAAGTATTATTTTAAAATGGCAAAAAATAAAATTTACATTTATCATACTCATAACTTTATGTTGCAACAAAAATGCTTATAAATCATTTTAAATTTGATTAAGTTGCAACTTTGCGATAATAAAAACAATAGTGTTATATAAATAACATACACAAATCAATACAAATATATAGATCAATGAAGTACCCTTATTCAAAATAGCTCATGGAAATAGATATTTGATGTTAATTGTTGTTGTGTTAATAGGTGGTAAAATGTAGTTAATCTCACAATGTGATACGGTCTTGAAAATATAATTATCAGCTTTTTATCATACCACTATGTTTAGCTTCAATCCATAGGGGGCGTACAAGCAAAACTATTTAGGAAAGAAAAATTAAAAACCTTTTTTTGCGTTGGGTCAATTTAAAGCAAATTTGTAAGTAGTTCCATTGTTACATAATTAGAATGTATAATTTTTATTGAAACTGTAATAATGTTTACATCGAAAATCATTTTGCATATACACGCCTATAATTTGAAGCCCACTGTATTTTTTAGGTACAGGTTCAAATCTCATTTTGTAGGTACATTTAAAACATTTTTTATCCACTGTATTAAATTTCAGTACAGAAAAAAAAAACAGTAGATGTCGCATACGAGAATGTTTTTGTTCTGTGGTACCTATCTGTAAGGTAGCACAATAGTGAAAAGATTTATGTATTTAAAAGATACCTACAAATACATTTCTATTATATTTAAATTAAATTTATAAGTCACATTTAGGCGACAGTTGTACGGATACAGGGTTGAAAAGTAAAATCTTCACAAGTTCTAAGGACGTTTCTACTGTGTTTGTAAAAATCATCAAAATTATATAAAAAATGTATAGTCCGAAGGATCAATGCGCATTATAAAAATTTTATGATTAATATAGTTTTTTATGTAACTGTGCAAGTTTATTAATTGCAGATCTCTACAAGTAAATATTAGGTTAAATATTCTTTGATTGATTGATTAATGATATTACCAGATCTTTAAAACCATGCAATTAGAGAGCCTATTACTTGTTCCTGTTTAGAAACTCAATATTACGTTATTAATATAAATTAAACAAATGTACCTCAATATCTTAAAATCTGTAGTAATCTAAAATTATATTTAATAATAATTATAGATAATTAAATGTTTCATGATTTCAATATAATACACTATTACATATTTAATCTTAGATAATACTTACACAATACATTATGTTCATCAAATGATAAAATAATAATGTAAAATATTACAATGAACTACGTATCTTTTAATGTTTATTGTATTGCCTTATAATGTTTTATGTAGCTTAATCAAATTTGTTTTTATAGGTATAGACTACTATACAGCTGCAACAAACCATTTGTACAATGTTATATTTTTAATCTTTTGTCAACGAAATTAAACATATGTTCTTATATTTGCCCGCGTGGCCTATAATTAAGTACCTACCTACTTATTTATTTCACGCAAAATTCCATAATTAATTTCAGTCAATTGTTCCGTGATAATAACTCTGACGTTATTTTTTTTAAATTGTAAAAAGATAAGCGTTCAAATTATTTATCATTGGTATTCACAATATTTATTGTCTTATATAACTCGCTTTCCAGGAAATATAAAAAAAATTATCATCAAACATTTCAAATAATAATTCTTACTTATAAATGTAAAATGGCTTGAAGCCAGGCTATTTTTTATCCTGGTCAATAGATAGAGCTGCGAGCAAACTAGTAATATTATAGAATCATCAAAACAATTTGAACTAAATTAGTCGTAAACTTTAATAGCTGTAAAATGTTTATATTGTATCATATCTTGTGTAGTTTAAGAGTAATGGAGTAGACTTATAATCAGGATAAAATCAAAGTTGATAGCTACGTAAAACTAAGAACCTACTCTATATACATGTCGTGAAACAAAAATTCAATAACAACAAACATATTATGAGCCTGACATGCTAACAGCTGCACGCGTAGTACAAGAGGTTCACAATTTTTTGTCGTTTTTAGACCTATATTTCTTTGGTGAAAAATTTGACCATATAGCTCCATTATGTATCTAAATATGACTACAAAGTACATAATGATCTTATATTTTAAAAAGATTATTAAAAAATATTTGAATAGTCAAAAGTCGCCCCTAAATTGTATCACAAAATGTATAAGTAACAAACATGTAATTTCGTTCCACTTCAATTTTGATATTACTTGTATAGGAACAAAATAGGGTTTGTAATTCTGCATCCTGCAATCGTGCATCGTGGAAATCTTTGGAATGTGGTAACATTCTGACGATTTCCACCACATTCCAGCGATTTCCTGCGTCTCAATAGACCTCTGAAAATTCCGCATTTGTGCAATAAATCCCACATGAAAAATTTTTGAACAATTTAATAGCAAAAGTACTTTAAATGTATAAACACATAATATATATCCTATTAATATTATAAATGCAAAAGTTTATAACAATGGATGGATGGCCGGATGTTTGTTACTCTTTTACGCAAAAACTACTGAACGAATTTAAATTTGATACACAGGTAGATTATATCCTAACTTAGGACAAGGCGAAGCCGCGAGATAATAACTAATAAAAGTAATATGTTATTGATGTGCTGATTTCTGTCGATTCTTAGTGAATTAACAAAGTTTTTAATGTATATAATGTTTATCAGTTTGATTTTTGAAATACCAAGAATTATATATATTTAGTTTGGTTCAATATAAATAATTCGCAATATGGAGTTTTTTTTATTTTCAGATATAAATATATTTTTAATCCACTTCCTACCAGAGCCCAGAAAAAATTATACGTATTCGTCTTCTTATATGATTTTTATGATTATTTATTACTATAAGAATAATTTAAAAACTATAATATATTTTTTGGAAATCAAAAATTATAAAATAGTAAAAAATAATTTTAATAGTATAACAGCTAAAAAAACTGTAAATGTTCATTCAAAAAATCGAACACCCGGTTAAATCTCGTGCGAAAATTGTAGAGGGTTGTCCCTTTACGTAATTGTAAATTTACCACAAATTTCCAGCCGGAAAGATAATACTGCGGGATTGCAACCCCTAGAGACCAAAACCAATTAAGAACTGACGGAAATATCGCATGTGCCCATATAAGTCAATAAAAAATACAGATATTATTTTTTAGATTTGTTCGTGCTCGCAATCAATTCTGCCGTCGTCTTTCATATCGTCGATACCTATTAGCTTATCAACAGTAATAATAATGCCATTATAAAAATAATTTACAAAATTACATAATAAAAAAAACACCGTCGTTAGAGTTCTGACCTAGTTAGAATTAAAGGGATTCGAGTAAATACTCGTACATACTTAATGTTTTTTTTAAATACCAAGTACTTTTGCTATCGATATTTTAAAAGCAAATAGGTAATGGTTTAGTCAAATGTACTCATATCGGTGTGACAATGCCAACTTAGATAAATAATTCGGCCATGAGAGCCATCTACATTGAATAAGAAATATTTTTTTGTTGATCGAATATTAAACAGCCAGTACCAATGGAGTCACGGCTCATGATCTATCAGAAAATAATCTGTTATCGTAATGCTAGCCTAAGTTATGAACGATAACCCCCTTTTTTTGACTTAGATAATACATGATAATTGATATAAATGTCAATTAACAATGAGACACCATTTCTCTAAACCTATCTCTAAAATGAAAATTTTAATTTGAAATAATAGCTTCATCTTAATTCTAAGAATCAGTATGAAATAAACTAATAGATTTTAAAAAATATTATATTTCTGTACCCACAAATTAAAATATTAGAGGAGGATTAGAGAAATAGCGCTCCAGATACAACCCCAATATTAATAATTGTTGTTATTTTTATCCTAAACTCTACATACATATCTATCAATACTCTATGACGACACTGTATCGAATAAAAGTATCGATACGGGTACCACTTTATCCTATCTTTCTATTCATCTCTACATCTAGTGTGATGAAGGCCAGTTCGCTTATATATGCTAATCCTTGGAACTTGTGCATGGATGTCATATCATGCTATTATTGTTAATCATATAAATAAAAAGTGAATATTATTATAGTGTTAATATACTGAATATCACATCTAAATGTTTGTTCTTCATTAAAATAATATGTACAATTTTATCCGCCTTGTGTTAATATTAGGTCTAAAATTATTTTTCCATTTGTAAGCATACTTAGTACAGAAAAAGTAAGTCGATAGTAGAAAAAATTGCTGCAAGCTCGAAAATTGCCGTAGTTGTTTAAAAGTGTATAAATCTCAGGATATAGAGTGTTTTCCAAAGGAAATATATTGTTTATGTGTGGGCTATATCCACAAATTTAATGCTGTGGCGATTCTTCCTCATTATAACAAAATTTGCAAACACTTTTTGAGTATATACCTAGTTAGGCCATATGCTTGTTAAGTTTGCAGTGTCTAGTGAGGGCCCTTGTTACACACTTATTTTTCGGAATCTTTATTTCTAATAAATTTAAATCAAAATTATCATAAAATTAGTTTCTGATAGTCCATAAAACAATAATTTTACTAAACTAGCAACTTAAAATAATAGGTCAAGAGGTTTAGAGTAACGGCCCCTCAGAATCAACCACATTGTGGCTGAAGTAATTCTGCACGTTTTGGTATTTTTAACATCCTATGTGAAAAATAAATCAAGATATGATAATTTAAAGATGGAACATTTTTTTACGCTGTAAAGTCTGCACTTTACATAATACACCCGTTATTTTAAAACTACTATAAACTTATAATTTTTTAACTAATTTAAAATAATCTAAGATTGTAGTCTAAAAAAACCGACTGAAAAGTTTATCATTTCAAATAAAAGTAATATAAGTTATTTAAGTATGAAATACTCACTTCACTTACGTTTCCCGAAACGCAAAGTGGACTGTAGGTTCATTTTAAAAATAAAAAAATTTAAACAATATTTAGAAAATTTATGTAATTTGTTATTAAAAATAACCTGATCAGTAAAAAACATTAAAAAATAGAAATAAAAATAACAAACAAAAAAATACCACCCAATTAAAAAAATCCTCCTTTTTTTAAGTCGATTGAAAATCAAACACTACTAAGAAAAGTTTAAAATTTGTAACGATGTTATTTGAAAAGTAAAAAATAATACGGTATACCTAAAAAAAAAAAATATAAATGACAAAATTCTATTTATCTTCTTTTTTTCATTTTATAAAATCAATACTTAAAACAACTTTATTTTTTGGCCCACTAAATGGACTTTATAAATCAATACCATGTTTTATAATAATTAGGTCAGGTTCTGTTACTTTATGGGTACTTAAATCAAGCAAATATTCGTATTTTTAGCAATGTGTGTGTGGCGTTATTTCAAATAAAGCGTGTTGATAGAAATTTTTGGCAACATTGTATTTTTTTTTATTATTGCAATTGATCACAATTTCACCTGATGTAATGTGCTGATGTGCTCTAAGATGGGGCTTGTGGGCCCACGAATAGTCTATTTACATTTGCCTTAAATTGCACCACTATATTTTATATTTAGATGAGAAAACATAAGCAGGGAGTGACTTCCACTCCTTAGCCGAATGAAGAAGAAAGACGCAAAGCGCTTCGGTCTCAGTTTCTGAGGAATTAGAATTTATATTAAACATATTGAGCTTTCAATAAGTTTATGTTTTGATACAAATTATATAAAGATAATGAATATTGCAGTCCGATTTTGCACAAATATGTCCCTAATAATTAATCTGTACTTCATGCTACTGTATTCCAGTTGAATTGTTTATATGTCATTGTATATATTTATGTTTTTGATGCAATAAAAAGTTAAATAATTTTTTTTTATTTAACGAAATTCGGTTTTAATATTTAGTACGTATCAAAGAAGATAGTTATTACTTTAAAATGAGATAGCTTTTTCAAATTAGTATTATAATTTAAAAGTTATAGCCATGTCAAGTTGTTTTATTGAGGTTTTTAAGGACTGATTTGAGCACTTCCTGTCTCAGCCCAGAGCACGTATAATCCTTTCCTATAAATACGAAAGTGAGTCTGTTTGTTTGTTACCTTATAGTAGCTTAACCGATTAACTAATCACTATGAAATTTGGTATACGTATTATATGGAAGAGAAGAATATTATACGCGGACGATGTCGCGTGTAAAAACTAGTCTGAAATAAAGTTTTGGTTAAGAACCTATGTTTATCGGTTTTTCGAATTGAGACTATTAGCAAATTTGTATCATATCAATGTATGAAGTTACTAGCGACCCGCCCCGGCTTCGCACGGGTGCAATGCTGATACTACATATAATAGCGTCGCCGGCCCCCCATTACATTACAACATCACATTAGAAACCTCTAAAATTATCAGTGTTCCTCTACTATATTATGCATGTATTATACATATAAATCTTTCTCTTGAATCACTCTATCTATTTAAAAAACCGTTTCAAAATTCGTTGCGTAGTTTTGAAGGTTTAAGCATACATAGGGACGGGCAGACAGCGACAGCGACTTTGTTTTATACTATGTAGTGATAAACATTTCAAAGGCTATGTCAAAATGTAACAAGAAAAATATAAGGTTATGTTGAAAGCATAGTTGTTTTCACATTTATAACTTGGTTACATTTTGAGTTAGGATGTTGAAAAAGACATAAAAATGTGCAAAATTATTTCAGCTACAAGGTCCCTTTATTTTATTTTTTTTATTCGTTGCATAATTTTAGAATAATTCGTCAAATATATTCTTTGATCTATTCTTTGCTTTTTGAACTCTCGTTGGGAAGTAAACTTTCTTTACAAAATTAATTTAACTCGATAAATAACTATGCCAATTTTCAGGATTGCTGCAATTTCTACAGTATGCCGCCGTTAATTAGCACATTCTAGGTACTTTAACTAATCAATTAGTAACACTTCAAACTGATCTAAGTTTTCCTATTCTATTACATTAAAAATCACATAGATTTACATAAATGTAAGATCACTACCATCATTTTCTGTAAAACCTCATAACTAAATATGTATTTGCATCATCAAATAGAAATAAGCATGGAGTAAATATAAAGATAAGATCGCATAGACGACTAAGCAATGTGATTGCAAGGACTAGTGACGAATGTTTGGCCACGTCCACATGTTCATTCTGATTAAGAAGAAATAGTTCGAAATTAATCGTGACTGGAACGGAAGAGTACTAACAGATAGTATGAATACACAGGAAAAAGCCGATTCTGAAGCGCCATTCCTCTAAACCTATATCTAAAATTAAAAACTCAATTTGATATCACAACCAAATCTAAGGACTAATGTAAAATAAATTTCTAATAAATTTAAGTCATTTTTTTACAGTTTATGGGTTTATTGCACCATTTAAAGAAAAAAACAATAAAAAAAAAATACAATAAGCGGTCTTATCACTAAAGCAATCTTTTCCAGACGACCTTTGGGTAGTGAAAAAAAATGAGGCGACAACTATTTGGCGCAATAAGTATTCTAATATTATTCAAACTATAATTACTCGTGTTAAAAAAAACATATGCAAATAATGATATTATTTAGTATTATATATATTATATATTCATATATCAAATAATTTAGTGGATGATGGTTTATTTATATAAAAGTACATTACTGCAGTGGGCAGCAACTGAGGCATTGATGGACGAACGTGCAAACGTGCAAACATACGTGAGTCCATCAATGCCTAGTTGTGGCCACGGCTTGTATAGTACTTTTCTCAAACAATGCGCGGAAATCAAAAACACAATTTTACTTTTTAAGTTCAATGACGAATAACGAACAATAATAATTTTTCACACATCAAAATGTTTCTTTGTTTTCTTTTCAATAAACAGCTTTCTATTTGCAAGCCAGTTCGAAATTTAAATGATACCTTTTATTAGTTACCTCCTTGGTAGCCATGTTTCGAATTAAAAGGTCATTTCATTTTTAAATTACAGGACAGATGAGTTTACATAATAATTTATCTGGCCGCAAAACACGACAGATATGGATTTTCATACAATTTTTGCCGGCCGCTGCCCGCATGTACCTGACCATTACAGCAAAATTTTAATTTATCTTAAATTTTAATTTTAATTATAATATATATATATATATATATATATATATGTATACAGGTTTTATAACCTAATTCAAACACAGATGTTTAAGCTGATCTAAATGTACAAATGAATTCGTACCAACTTTTACTTAAATTTCCAGTGCTGAGTTTGTTCCAATAATGGTTATGCAATAAAGTTATTATTATTATCAAATAAAAATGTTAATTGAATGGATAGGTTTAAAGAAATGGTGGCTCAGAATCAGCTCCTGTTTCCTACGTTAATATTTTACCAGACTAATTTCGGACCGAGGGCCGACCGCGACTGGCACTACAGTGTGAATCTGGCTTTAAAGCTCCAATATATTTAGACTACACGTTTAAACCAAAAATTTATTATTTTGACAATATTGTAACGAAAATAAAGAAGTACTGCATGAAAGAATAACAATGTATAATTTTCATCTATAAGTATTTATATTATTTGTTCAAAATTGTTTCAAACGTATTGCGACATCTATCGATAATTTCTAAACAAAAAAGCACCACAGAAGAGGAGATATTGTTAATAATGCGGACTACCAGTCCCATTGATAGCAACATGTCCAACTAGGTCGACCTTCACGTGGGCCTCCCTGGAAATCATTGGATGAATTCATCTGGAATTCAGGGCTAACTGGCCTGCTTTTTCAATCTCACTTATTATCCTTCACTGGTGCCCCGCCAGTGTATACCGTTAATGCTGGCAAGGTTACCACTCCATTACCTCCATTATTACTCTAAAATAATTTAAATAAAAAATAAATTTAAAACATGACTACCTCAAAATTATGCCTTGAAAAGTATGAAACAAGAAAATATTGTCATCTGAATTTGTTATGTACAAACTGTTTACTGTATACAAAATACACAACTAACACGTAATATATTTAAATGTAATTAATTAATACTTATTCATAGTGACGTTCAGAGGATATACATTGTCGTATGACTCTAGACGTGCAGTACGATGATCTTTATTCTAACGCTTATGATCGGTTACTACTGTTAAGGCAGGTGTAAAAACTTCTATATATACACAGACATATATATATATATATATATATATATATATCTGATTCATGTTATGAGGTTTGATAACGTTATGTATCATTTAACAAGTTAAATAAGTAATATATACTTACTTATTCAAATAATTATTTCTATCTTTATGTTTTCTCTTTGTTGTTTGCGCTTAATTTTATCACTACAATCACGTGTAAAAATATATTAAGCTAGATAGCAAAGAGGAAAATCTTTGTATCTACTCCATGGACAACAGTCACCACCAAAATACATACAAATGAAAACCAAATATACATATTACAAATTTTAAAGTTAAATAAGTTGAATGACACTGTCATACACATAAATACAACAAACTTTTGGCCAAGGAACTACTTTCCTTCTTTCTTTAGGTATATTATTTTATTAACAAATCATAAATAACTTTTGTTATTATTTCTAATCACTATAATGGCATCTAAATATCCATTGCATGGTGTTATGTAATAGTGACAATCACATATTAAACTCTTAAATATTTATAATTGATTATTAGCTTCATACTCTTTATTCATAGATACTCTTTATTGTTTCCTCCAACAGATTACAGTAGTAAAATTATTATAGACAATTACACAATTGAACTGAGAAAATAAAAAGCAGTCTTATAGCTGAAAGCGATCTTTTCTACCTTTTGATAACAACTATAATTATTTAAGAGTTAGACTTAATTTAAAATATAATAAGGATAAAGACTAGTCTACCTATATTTTACAAATATTAAAATAAGTGACAAAAAATTATCTCACCTGACTGGTCAAACCTATGATAACCTGTACTATGAAATACCTGTATAAAGAATAAAATGCGGTGGCACAGCCCAAACATACATTGTTTATGCAGAGCAACTACTACAATAAATGCAACTAAAGGGCAAATATATATAAATATATTAATCAATAGTCTTAATAATATTAATAGTCTAATATATATACAGTAGTTCACAAGTTCAATTTTGTTAATTAATGTGATGGTGGCAAATGGCCAATTTGATTCCAGTCGGATAGAAAGCGTATACGCTAGTGTATCTAAACTAGATATTATTCTTACAGACATACATCAACGTTCTCGACGTGCTCGTTTAGCACGGGGAGTTGGCGTGCACGGACTGGGCTCATCATCGTCTCGCCTCTTCATTGGAGCTTGTGGACGTTGTAGTTGACTCTGAGCCGTTAACTGAAGCTGTAACGCATGGGTATTTAACCTTTCGGCTAACAGCAATGGTTTTAGAGCTGCCATTTTATGGCTATAAAGGGTAACTCGAGGTCTACTATTTACTGCTGCAGTCAACTGCTCACGCACACTCATCTCAATATTTTCAGAATTATTATTCCATTTGTCTTTTTCATTCTCTCTTTCTTCTTTTTCTTCCTTGATAGAAGAGTCTTTAAATTTATCATTGTGTTCATCATTGTTAGGACTACATATAATGTGTACCTGTGCTCGGACTTCAGCATCAAATTTAGATATGGTGCTAACAAGAGGCTTTGCCCATCCAATATGGAGAATTGGGGTCTGACTGCCTTCCTCCCATTTGCAAATGCCATCATAAAATCTGTAATCATGAACATTTCAAATTATTTAATAATTATGTTTCACAAAAGAACACCATATCAATTGTGGCAAAACCAGTTATATTGATTTAAAAACTAAATTACTGATTTTGACTTAGTTTTTATGAGATCGTCCCACCTCGTTTTAGATTAAATAATAACTTGCAAAATCATTTTATAACTGACAGAATTATGAGGAAACAAACATAAAAATAAAATACACCCGAATTAAAAACCTTTTTGATTTTTTATCAAATAATTTTGTTTACGAGGTCTGTCCGGAAAGTTCGTATAAAAGTGTTCTGGAATGCGAGAAAGAGGAGTGGGGAGGCCAGGTAAGCGCAGGACCCCTTCCTTATGTCCCTAACAATGCTTCAGTTCTGGTCTGACCGCCGTGCGGTGCGAACTGGCTTGTCACGCCATCTGTGAAGTTACCTCTTAACGAAACCCCGTCGGCATGGAGCCCGCTTCCGTTGAAGAGCAGCGCGTCGTAATCAAGTTTCTCTCGAAACTCGGCAAGAATGGCCGTGAAAGCAAAGAGTGGAAGACATCCGGGGAACCACGAACAAAAAAATCAAGAAAATCCCGCTCAAATGTCAAGACAATGTTGATTGTTTTTTTCGATGTTCGGGGGATTGTCCATCAAGAATTCGTCCCTCCAGGCCAGACAGTTGATGGAAAATTCTACGTCGATGTGCTCAGACGCCTCAAAGCTCGTGTGGCACGAGTTCGTCCAGAATTGGCGCGAGAGGGGCGTTGGATTCTTCACCACGACAATGCCCCTGCCCACACCTCTCTTGTTGTCCGTGAGTTTTTGAGTAAAAATTCCATTACGGTGACCGAACACCCCCCTATTCGCCGGATTTGGCCCCGTGTGACTTCTTCTTGTTCCCAAAAACCAAATTGGTACTTCGGGGGCGGCATTTGGGGGACATAAATGAGATAAAAAAAGCTACGACGGGGCAGCTGAGAAACCTACAACCAGAGGACTTTCAAGGAGCCTTCTCACAGTGGAAACGGCGTTGGCACAAGTGCATTATGTCACAGGGGGAGTACTTTGAAGGGGATAAAATTGATTTACCTGAATAATTGTAAAATAAAATTTTTAAAAAACTTTTATACGTACTTTCCGGACAAACCTCGTATATGATTTGGAATATTTTATTATGGAACATAGAATGACAAACTGACTACCCACCTGATAAAAAGATATACACAATATATAGAAATGAACAAAACCATGGATATGAAAGAATACATTGTAATGCCCTAGGTACTATTTGTGTGTTGCCATTCTTGTGCACCTGTTATACCCCATACCTACTCTGTAATTTCACTAAAATAAATAAACTATTAATAATATTAAATACTACTGCAACTATTTAAATATTATGCTTTATTCTTTCTTTATTCTTTATTGTACACAAAACATACTGTTAATCACAATTCATTATCTTAATACTAGCTGTATCTTGCCGCTACATCCGCCTAAAAGAGTACATAAAGTACCTTATGTGCTAAATTTGTATATAACCTACCTATTTATCAAATTCAATTCAAATCCATCCAGTAGTTCTTACGTGAAAGAAAAACAAACATTCATCAATCCTTACAAACTTTTGCATTTATAATGTATTAATGATTGTAGTAATAATTTATAGGAAAATTATTAGTATTTATAGATCCCTTTAATGATGATTGAAGAAATAAATTATCCCTGGATCCATATGTAGATCCTGATTGTGGATTATGAACTGAGATTATATATTATATTTAAATAATTACATATTATTTATAAAAAAAAAACTATTTTTTTATATTTTACCTAAGTAACGAAGCAAAACATTCGGGGTCTTTTAAAATAGATCTTGCAGAGTGTCCAGAGCTTTCGGCTTTCATAAGTTGGGGTATCAATTCATTGGCTATTTCTGAGAATTCTTTATATATCTCTTCATCATCCCGAGAATAGTTGTAACTGAAAGAAAAAATATAATGTTTGTGCCAATCTTGCTAGTTGTTGAAGACAATGAATGAGCAAATATGTTACGTAACATTATTATCGGAAGCAAAAGGGTTTTTTTTTAATGGGTGAGAATGGAATGGTTTCCCCGCCTGCACTATCGGTGTAAAATGGCGGGGCATCAGTAAGAGAGGATGAATGCAGATTAGTTGGCCAATACAGTAAAAGCTCTTTATTCGCGGGGTCCGTATTTTCCGTATTTACGTGGTATATTTATACCACGAATAAAAAAACCGCGAATATAAAAAGCCGAACCACTTATTCAGCGACGACAGCATTTGACAACATACTTTAGGTGTAGTTATGTAGGTCTGTTTTAATTTTTTATTAGTCCATTTGCCGATGCGTATAATATATACGCATAAGAGGAATATTGACGATGAGAATGAGCGGCGCCGAGATTCACGGAGGACGAGCTACAAATGGGACGCCGAGATGTTTATTTATTTATTTAGGCACAGCAACAGTATTACAATTCACACAAATTGAATACAATAAATTTTATAACTAATTGTTTTAAAGTTGTATACCATTAATTGCTACGCACAGCGTTAGCTTATACTAGTTTCAATGTTAGAAGGACTATATAGGATTAATATATAAAAGGATGGAGTGAACCGCGCGGATTTACGAGCTTAAGTTACACACCTCACGACAAAAAAAGGATGAGCAACCTTTAACTGAGGTGTCCCTCAGTTAAAGGGTTTGTTGTAACCTCATTTTTTCTCATCTTCAGAGGTACCACTGGGCGCCGTCAACACTTTGTTCAGGAGTATCACAGTTAAAGATGGGTATATTTTTTCGTCATCAGGTTGATGCCAGAAATTTGCTCAGAAGCGCCCGATAGGCTAAGGTCAGACCTGTATAGCACAGTAATAGAAGATAGTACTTACTGTCTTATAACATCACCAGCACAGGCCCAAGCATGAAATGCTTCTTTGTACATTTTGTGACGATGGTAATAACCACCTTGAAATGTATATGGATATACATGTCTGTCTTCATAATGTACACGGGATGATCTTATAGCCTGAGCATATAAAGCAGCTGAATCTGGTCTTGGTGTTCCATTATTAGAATTTGTGCGGCTTACATCTGATACAGAGGAATCCTCTGTATTTTCTGTGCAATTGGATATTTTCATATACTCATCTAAATCACCAAGGTTACCAAGAGCCATTGGATATGCATCTAGCTGTCCTATGGACGAAAAAGATTATTCGATATAACATTGTTTTTTAAACCTATTTTTAAAGGAGATAAATATGCAATTTTAATCTCCCACATTGTTGCTCCAGATTGACACAATAATAACATGTGCAATTACACCATTTAGAAGATTATGCATGCCCAGTAAGGCCAGATAAATTTTAACTGTAAAATTTTGTAGAGATTTTCATCACTAAACTTTCAGTACAATATTAAATATTATTGTAAGTACTATTATAATAACTAATCTATGTAACCAAAAATGTAATACTGTTCATTGGTAAAAACATTCTTTCAGAATGCCTGAACCAATTTCCAAAAAAGACAGGCAATATCTCATGCATCAGCTAGTTTTATATATAATATCAAATTTAATTCTTGATGCTACATTATATATTATTTTTGCTAAACTATCAATTTATAATTTTAATTTTAATAGTATGGGGAGTGTTTATATTTTTTACATGTTGAACAACAATTTAAAAATTTGTCTCTATACTTCCAACTTATCAATAGGATTCTCATATAATAACTATTTTCTTTCTTGACTACCTTCTACCTTTGACATCACTGATTTGAATTATATAAATGACAACAAAATAGATTACTTAACAAAGTATATAAAGAAAAGAGAGATGTGCTTTTATCCTCAGGCAGATAAAAGTTGAAATACAAAATATAAAAAGAAACATTCATATTATTCTAATATTGTCCAATGATTACAAAATTTTCATTGTTGTTGAGAATAGAACTCTCAATCAAATGAGATCACTTTCATGCTGTTAGTTATGTGTGACCAGATATATATAGAATTCACTTTTATATTTAAAATCAAAGTTAAAACTCTCAAACTATACATTATTTAACATACTGTCATAAGCCACAAAGACCATAGATCACTACAAAGAAAAGAATGGTCCTGAACTGAACTATTTTTATAATATTTACCTTTATCATATAACAACCATAGTAGTTTATGCTGCATTTGAGCCACCTCATGAACATCAATGGTTGGTGTTAATGTAGGATTAATTGAAGAAACCAATGCTGCCAGTTCCATAATACGGGTACACACTACAGGTTTACCAGCTACATATAACCATGAGCGAGCTGAAACACCATCACCTACTGACCGTCCTCTCTTGTCTTCATTACCTTTACCATGCCATGTTACCTGTAGAATTAATTATATATATTATCATACCTATAATTATGGATGTAGCAACAGCAGCCAGTGACCTTCATTGTCAATTATTTTTTACAATGTTATACTTGTAACAAGAGTTTATCAGACTTAAACAAATTTAATATACTGATATCTGTAATTCTGTAACATGTTCTAAGTTATTATTTAGATCATTAGGTAGATCTTAAAAATTTGTAAGGATTCACCCTCTACTGTCTAGATTTAAGATATCAAATTGAAAGATATTAATATTCAAACAGAAATATTACTAAAAATATTTTAATATTTTACATATAATACTGAAGTGATATATGTATTAGTTTTTATCACACAATATAACAATAGACTTATTTTAAAAGCTAAACATTTTCAAATAAAATTTTTATCAAATAATTTTTATATTGGTAATCCAATTTGAAACTTACCTCTGCTGTATCTGATCCATCTTTACCAAAAACTACCCATGCATGATCTTCAGACAAAGCTAGATGTACATCACGTTTCCCCAAAACTTGACAGCCTGCTGTCACAGCAAAAGCAACACCAAAACAATCCAACTTATTGCCAGTCAAGAAACTATAGATAGATTGTAAATGTGCTCTATCTTTATAATAACTTCGGGTTAATGAATTCCAGACTACGTCTGCAACTCTTTTTACGAGGTCGCGGGTTGCGTGCTCACCATTTAACAACTTGGCGTCAACTCCTGCTTTCATCAAAGAAACGAACCTATCATGAAGCGATTTGACCTCCTCCCATTCAACGCATGGAAATTTCATTTTCACAAATTTGTTTGTTGACAAATTCATTTCTTTATCATTGTTTTTCACATTTGTCAAATTATTTTCAACAGCTCCGACAATTATAGAAAACAAAGCCAAGTCAGGCTCTTTTTCACTGCGTAGTTGCTCATGAAATAAATCACAAACCCTCTGTATACTGTCAATAGGGAAAAAATGCTTAAATTCTGCTACACCAGACATAATCGTAAAGTGTTTATTTTACATAATTTATTTGCAAATTAATATATTTGTTATTATTATTTATACACGAAGAGTACCGGTTAGTTGACGTTTTTAGTTTTGCTTGTTTAAGCTGCATCGCTTTGACTAAAAAAAATTGTACCAAAGAAATCTATGCAACCAGTTCGTTGTTAAAATTGCTAGATCTTTCATGATATCTATCAATATGATATCAATATTTTGGGCAGAGACATATCTATATCTATATCATCACTACATAACATAAAACAAAGTCGCTTCCTGACAGTCCCTATATATGCTTCGATCTTTAATCTTACGTAACGGATTTTGATGCTGTTTTTTATAGATAGAGTGACTTAAGGGAAAGGTTTATATGTATAATACATGCATAATATAGTAAAGATAATTTTAGACGTTTTTAATGTAGTAAATAAAATAAACATTTTTTTGCGCTTACATTGCAAACGCTGGTTGAACCCTACGAGATAGATCAAAATAATGTACAGTAGACGCATATGTATTATACGCCTTAAGAAGATCTATAAAAAAAGTCCGCAATGGTATATATCTATCTCTTAGAGATAACCCACAATAACCACAAGGAGACTTTGTACAAAAATTGTTTGCTGAGACACCTCTGTCCCATTCGTGTTTCTACCCTGAAGCAGTTGTATTTGCATGACTGTGTTTCAGTTTGAACGGTGGGATATGCCAGTGATTTTATAGGGTATAGAGATTATTAGAATTAGTCTTCTTGGCATGTCTTTTTGGGAGGCCAAGTGGTACACAAAAACATTATGTAATTGAAAACCTTTTCCATGTCCAGGAATATTGCTACAGTTTGCTTCTCTTCTTATTATGGGCCTCTGTATGCAGTACTCTGGCCAGTTGAAATGTGGTTGAGTTCTTTACTCTAAACCCAAACTATTCTAGTCTTAGCTTTATGTTGTGCTAGATATGTTATTATGCTATTGTTAAGAAGAAGTTTTTTACGTAACTTGCACATTAATGTTCTGTTGAAACAAATTACTTTACTACTAATATTCTATTTTAAATTTGCGTCACATTTCCTGTTCCATTTAATTTCTTAAAGGGTATGATTCCGGTTGCAATTCGTTCTTGCCGAGTTTAAGCAGTGTAGACCTTGCAGGGCCGATCTTGCCTATCTTTCAATAATCTGGAGAATTCCCTGTGCGCATAATACTATTGTACAGACGCGTAAGTACCACTAAAGTGCGCAACAGAAAATGACGTAGCGCCGCATTATTGATATTATAGCTACCGGAACTTTCTTAAGTTTCATTTTAATATAGATAGAACAGAGTGATTTAACAAACCGATGAGAGGTGGAATGGAAGTAGATAAATATTGTACACTGCAATATCAGGTGAACTTTAGAGGAATTTTGACGTGGATTGGACCGAAATATATCAATTATACAATTTACGAAACAATAATTTATGTTGACATACGCGTTTATTAAATTTTTTTTACGAGTGAGATGACGGAGGATATCAGATGGTAGCCTTAATAACTACTCATAGAGTTTATACTAATGCTATTCAATCTTAATACATCTTTCTAATTTTTCTAATATAAGAAGAAAAATAGTAGATGATGAGTTCAGAAAATTTTTAATACGTTAATTCAATTCCATAAGAAAGAACATCGAGAAAAATATTCAAATTATTTGTCATTGACAGAAAAATAAAAATAACGAAATACATTATAGATATAGATTTCACAACACCTATTTAGTTCGACGTCGATGTGCCTGCTTTTTATTTAAACTTTAAAATGGCTAATGACTACCCTAAAAAGCCGAAGACATAAGAAGAAAAAAGGTAACCCTTCAAAAATATGCGTAGACAGCATAATCAAATCATAAACACAAATTAAACAAGTATGTAAGTCCAATATAAGTTATGCATTAAAAGAATTTAGTCACTTACACGTTACAACTTGTTACGGGTTGTCTTGCAAATAAAAGGAACATTTACTAGTTTATATACACATAATAGATGAACTGCCTGATAACTTAAATTAAACCACAACTTAAATCTATATTCGACTAAAACTAATTTTGGGCGCCAGGAGAGTTTTTATGTTGCTTGCAGAAGTCTGCCCAAAACCAAGCCACTGGCATCAAGGGCATTTCCTTAGGCTACAACAATAAGCATACATCGTTATTAACTTTGATATCATGTGTTCCATGTAACCGTTATTGTAATTTGTAAATCTGAACTTACCCCTTCTGTATGTAATCATCTGAAATCACTTAAAGTTAAAGAACTCGTTTAACACTGGTTTACTAATGCCGATAATATTTAAATACTGTTTCTGTTCACTAGTATTATAATAACGAAACTCAATTAGGTCAGCTTAAACCACATTATAGCTTTCTTTATTCCACATCGCCAAACACGCCGTTTGCTGTTACCGTCTGATCTTATTGTACCTACGTTTTATTGATGATATTTATTATTCGACTACCCTATGACAGCTAAATATATACGGGATGAATAGACCTTTCGCAATACAAAGTTTCCTAAAAATCTCATGCAATTCATCATCTTCCTACCCAGTAGTGCTATTCTCTAAGCAAACAGCCTAGACATCAGCCTTGACGCAGCGATGAAATATTGAAATGGTATTCACTAATTCTTAAGACGCGACACTAGCGCCCAAAGACGAGCTCAAAGACGAGCGGCATAAACGGGAACTACTCAAGGCTGTGCGATTTGACATTTTGCCATAGTATTTGGTATTCACTAACAAAAATCAGCCTCGCCTTCGCCGACAGCCTAGCCTACAGCCTCGATTTCTTATGTCAAACTCAAAAGCTTTGTTTTCTACGCTGTTTGCATAGTATTCATCTAATATATTTATTTGTTTCTTGAATTCTGTGATTATTAATTGTATTGAAATTATCAATTTGTGTTTAAAAACGATTGCTGCCCGTTTATGTGTAATGACCCATTTGTTGAAAGAAGCTAAAATAGAAAATGATTGTAAGAAATGCCGACAATCAACAACTTTATGTGATGTGGATTATATTCATCATTACCGACTTTCTGAAGAATTAATCAATATGTTAGAAAAAGAATTGTCACCATGTATGCCTGTTCCAGAGAGTTGTTAAAGCTAAAGGTTTGTAACTTAAATTTTATTAATTGATGGTATTAGGTACATAAATAAATTTAAAGCAGGAAAAAGAATACTTTGCAGTGATTGTGTGCACTTGTTTATTTTATTGAGACAAGCTTAATTGTGTCAGCAGATGTTTGTGTAGGGAACAACTAGCTAGTTCTAGTATGCATAATAATACTTCTGGTGTTACAAATATTCATGGATCATGGTAACCGTTTCCCATTAGGTGATCCATAAGCTTAGTGGCCTCTGGTTTTGTATAAAAATAACTATGTCTAATATGTTAGAAAGAAACCAACTTAGTTAAACATGTAGTAAATTATTAATTCATGTCAATTAATTTTTGTTAAATTAGACCACTAAATTTAGCATTCAGGTTGAAACTATTATAAAAAATTGTTTCAAAATCATAGTTTTAAAAAACATGACACACATAAATTCAGGATTGGCTATGTGGCTAATTAAAAATAATTAACATTACTTGTTTTTTTTCAGGTGATTTTGAAACTCATTTAGTAGCATGACACAAACCCTTGGACAGCCACAATAATAGTAGTGTATTGCTGTATTGTTTGTGATATGCTGATAATATGATGCAGTTACATCATCTATACAAAATGAAGAAGCACAAAAGAAAATTTTGTAGTCTGAAAATAAGCTAGCTATACTTTTTGTACTTATATCTTAAAACTATTTTCAAATACTTTTTTATTGTTACATTTTTGTCTACCTGTGAATTAAAATTAATATTATATTATGTTGTAAATGTATATTTTAATTTAAAATTATTATAATTAATTCATATTATAACTAGTATGGAGTAAGAAATTAAAAAAAATATTCATTACAAATTATTTATTTGAAATTGAAACAAGTTTATAATTATAAAATTTTATTGTAATTGTGTTTTTATTTGAAAATTATATAAGATGAAACTTATATTTCAAAATTACTAATGACTATTAAATGACATAATTTAATCTTATATTTTCAATAATGAACTTGATTTAACTAATAATTCCAATAACTCTTGTTATGTTTGGCAGTGTATATTTTTAGAAATGTATTATTGTAAAATCTATTAGTATTTTAAAAACCAAAATTGAGGTTTCTCCCCTTCTTCACAATGGATGGTAGAATCATAAAGAATTACCATTTATAATATTTTAAATTTAATTGAATAAAAATTATTTGACATTTTTTTAAAAAATTTTTAATTAAATCGTACAATGGCTGACTTTAATTTAGTCATATCTCATTCATTAGCTATAAGATATGAACTAGTGTTGTCTGATTCTCTATCAAAATTTGTTCTGTCTCTACTCGGTGCTCTTCAGTGGCAACAAATCTTTGTGAGACTACTCTCTTTCTAGTTGAGGCTGCTATTGTGAAGGAGATAAGTGTCATCGGGATACTGTCAGTCAAATGACGGCGTGGACCTAAAAATAACAATAAGACCAATTAGACACATAATTCTAAAATTATAAATTAGTTATTTATTTAAGATACTCCACAAAAATATAATTAATCCTTTTTTCTGTTCGTGTATGTCCTGTCACAAGCCATGTCTGATTCTTTATATAATCCATCAGCATCTCCGACTACTTTGCGAAGGGACCTCATTTCATGGCATATTACGAGATATGCATTTATTTTAGTTACTAAAAATATAACCTTAAAAACAATACAAGTAAATAAAAAGCACATTTTACTTACGTATTTGATAGATACATCCAAACTTATAAAAAGTTGGTAAAGTTACGTTAATTTTATTAATTATTTTTAAAAGAGAATAAACAAATACAAAAAGTGCGCCTCTGGAATGTTAAGTACAAGGAATATAATACTCTCTACGTACCTACGTATAAGTGTTATTTGTTTATTTTACGGCAATGGAAGCAAGGGTATTCAAACAAATCTTAACTTTAAAAAACAAAATCAAATGTTTGATGTATAAATTTATGTTTATTTTATATAATATTTATTTA